GACTCTCTAATCATGGTGATTGGACTTCTGTAGTTGCAACACTCAGGCTTAGTTTCTCTCTCCCCAAGCGTGTGGAATCTTAATTCCCCGACTTGGGATTGAACCTGCATTCCTTGCATGGCAAGGCAGTTCTTAAATCACTGAACCACCAGGGAAGTCCCCCATGGCAGGTTTTGACCATGGCCTTTCGGGGACCTTTCCACATACCACCAACGGCAATAATGGTCACACGCTCATTCCGCAACTTCGGTGCACGGGGACCAGCCTCCTGCCCTTCTTCATCTTTGGGTTTTGGCGGCCTGCCAACATGCAGACAGTGGCCTGCTTGGTTGTGGCCTCTTGGTGGGGCCTCGTGCCAGCTGGGTGGTTGCTCTCGCTGAGTTTTAATGAGGAGGCCCTAGGGGACCCCTCCTTCCCATTGTGGGGAATCCTGGAGCTTCTGTATTTTGATTGAATACACTGAACCGAGCTGTGAGCAGCAGGTGGGGAACCCAGGGGGACTCATACAGTGAATCCGTCTCTCTTTGCCACCGCAACCAAAAAATAAAACATCATCCAGGTAAAAGCCAGTTGCGTGAAAAGAGCAGGCTGCATGATGGCGGAAGGTGTTTCTTAAAGGGCGATGTGAGAGATGCTGGGAGGAAGCAGCAGCCAGTGTCCTCGACAGTGAAAGGCTAGGGCCTGAGTCCTCCCTGCCTCTCTGCCTCTTCTCCTCCATCTTCCTCCCCTCCCTCCTCCATCTCTTCTCCTCCTTCCCTCCTTCTTATCTGTTTATCCCTCTGTCTCTCCCCCCAGTAACTGCACACTCCCCCACTGTCCTTGGCTCCAAGTTTAGGTCAGCCAGTTCGTCCCTGGGACATCATGGAGCCCCTCCCCACCAGGGGTGGTCACCAGATCTATTACACTCATTCATTCATTCACCAGCATCTGGCTGTAACATCAGCAAGGCGCTGGCTCCTGGGAATACAATGAGAAATTAGAGGAATAATTTCTCTGCTCTTGGAGACCTGATGGTTCAAGAGGGAGTTGGCTCTGTAGGATGGTTCTGCTGGTACAAACACAGATTCCTGAGTCCCGTCTCTGTAAGTCTGGTTCCGTGATCTGGGCTGCACCTGGGAAGCTGCATTTTTCTAAGGAGCCATCCTGGTGACGCTAATGGATCCTAGGCGAATCTCAGGGAAACATTCTTTTCAGCCTTGAGGCTGTGCCCAGAACCACCCATTCAAGAGTGCTGGTTGACAGCTGTGCACTGTGGTTCTAACTGTCCCGCTGGCCCTTGAGCGGTTAGAAAGTGTAGTGTCTTAGAGAAGGGTCTTACCACACATGGGTGATGATGTTGGGAATTTTCAGATGTCGCGCTTCAGGGTTGGAGAGTATTCTAACTTCTCAGAATTTCTTGATGTGCTCAGCAGTGGCTCTCTAAAAACCTGGGGTGACCCCACTGCTCCCTCCCATTCCTCCTTCTCTGTAGATTCCCGACCTCCCTGGACCACCCCTCCCACCTCCAGGCGCGCCTGTCGCTGGCTTTTCTCTGTCTCCCGGGTGACCCTGGCTTGTAACTCTCCCAGAGGGAATCTTCTCTGCAGTTTGCCTCTTCTGGCCATCTGATGAAATATCCATCCTCCCCCAGATCAGAAATGGTGGGGAGGGCAGATCGTTGTCATTGTTCAATTGCTCACTCGTGTCCGACTCTTTGCGACCCTGTGGACTGCAGCACGCCAGGCTTCCTAGCCCTTCACCATCTCCTGTAGTTTGTTCAAACTCATGTCCATTGAGTCGGTGATGCTATCCAACCCTCTCATCCTCTGTCGCTTCCTTCCCTTCCTGCCCTCAATCTTTCCCCGCATCAGGGTCTTTTCCAATGAGTCAGCTCTTCGCAGCTCTTGATTTCCTTTAGGATTGACTGGTTTGATCTCCTTGCAGTCCGAGGGACTCTCAAGAATCCCCTCCAGCGCCACTATTCAAAAGCATCAGTTCTTCGGCTCTCAGCCTTCTTTATGGTCCATCTCTCACATCTGTACATGACTCCTGGAAAAACCATAGCTTTGAGTAGATGGCTGCTTGTCAGCAAAGTGATGTCTCTGTTTTTCAATACGCTGTCTAGGTTTGTCATAGCTTTGCTATTCAGCTGCAAAGAACAGAAACCTATCTAACACATCCCATTTAAGTCAAGGAGGACAGATCACAAAGACACAAGGGGCTCTCACATCACCCAGGGGCAGAGTGCAGAGCCAGGCCAGTCAGCAAGTAGGCAGCCCAAGACTCCAGCCTGCCCTGCACCCCCTGGTCTCACTCTCTGAGGAGCATCTGCCTCCCTCTGCTCAGCCATCCGTGTGCACAAGGACCAGTAGAGCTGCCCCCAAACGGCAGCCTGAGCCCTCCAGATGGCTGAGACCCTCCAGTTCTAGCTCCCGGCACTGTCTCAATCCCAAGTTTCAGAAAAACATAATTTGATAGACCCCATTTGGGATCCATGCTGACTCCTGTTCAGTTAACTGAAACAGGGGCTGGACTTCATATGCTTTTCCAGAAGAGGGATCAGCTGCTTCTCTGAAAGGGGCCAAGGGCTGCAGGGAATGCTTGACAGTTAAAGTGAAGTGGTTGCAGTTCTGGGGTAGCTAGTGCCGCGAAAGAGGGTGATATCCTGTGTCTATAGGCGTGTTTGGTAATGAGATTCCTGGGAAAACACGGAGGACGAAGGAGCACTATTATTGAGCTCCTGCTCTCTCTGCACTGGTCTCATTGCATGTCTTTTCACAGTGATGCTCTGCAAAGACTTCACTGGGATCCAGAGGCTCCATTCACTTCACGCAAGTTCAGTTTCCATGGCAGCACCCGCATTCAGCAAACTTGGTCCCTTCAACTCTCAACACTGGTCTTCCCATTGACACCACTGCTGCTGCACCACATGGGTACCAAGAAGTATCCCATGCGGTCAGAAATCTGGACCTTAAAGTCAAGCTCGAGATCTGAAGGAGCAGATAAAGATCTATTGTTGAGATCTATAGTTCAGTTCAGGAGAATCCCACCTAACAGCTTCCTAGAAGCCCCAGTGGACTTTCATGGGGCTTCTGGTATGAGACGTCTCTATCGCCTAGGAAAGCATCTCACCAGCATTTCTGGCCTTTGGCAGACTGGCTTTTTCATGAAGCCATTTCTGAGGAGTGCAGTGAGGCAGAAAGACTGAAATGAAGGGCTTTGAGAGGCAAATGGTCCTGGCCTCTGCTCTGTGATTCATGCTGGGTCGCTAGTTCTCCACGGGCTTCAGCAGGAGAGGTCCTCCCTCTTTCACACAACCGTGGGGGTTTTTAAATGAGACAGTGCGTAAAATGTGCTTTGCGCTCATGCTGGAGACAGTAATCACTCAATAAATGGCAGCCATAATAACAGTAATAATAATAACTTAGTTGCTTGAATGCAGGATGTTTCTCTATCCCCTACAGCACCAGTAAAATGCCTTGAAGGAGGCTGCCTGCTTCTATTTCTTCTTCCCCCTCCTCACCCTCCTTTTAACTGTCCCTCTTCCCTTCCCCCTCCTCCCCTCCCTCTCTCCTTCCTTCTCCTCCTTCCCCTTCTCCTCCTCCCCCTCCTTCTCCTTCTTCAAGTGAGACACAATTGGATAACTTGGTGCAAGTTTAAAGTAGATACACTTTCTAAAACAGAGTTAGAGAGTTAAGTGATAGAGTAAGCACATGCGTTATCCAAAATCCTTAACGTATTTTATCTCATTTGATTGTCATAAGAGTTTGGACACGAATGAGCAACTTTCACTCATTTACTCACTCACTCGATGACCTCATGGGGTACCTACCCCATAATTCCTGTTTTACAGCGAAGGAAACTGAGGCTCAGAAAGGTGACATAACTTGGTTGTTACATGTTAGTTAAATGAAGGGCCCTTTTGTCTAACTTCAGGATCTTAAGCCACAGCTCTGAAGCTGACCGTAAGCTGAATTCAGTCATACAATGGGGTTACCTTAAATGCTCATAGGATTTTCAGCTGTATTAATAGAGGCATGGTATCTAGAATGATGGAGGTGAGAGTTCCGCTTGCCCTGCCCTGAAGAGAGCTCATCCAAGTGTTTAATTCTGGGTCTTGCAATAAGGTAACCACCATAGCATTAGCTAATGCCTCTGTTGTTTAGTCGCTAAGTCACGTCCGACTCTTTGTGACCCCGTGGTCTGCAGCACACCAGGCTTCCCTGTCCTTCACTATCTCCCAGAGTTTGCTCAAACTCATGTCTATTGAATCGGTGTTGCCATCCAGTCATCTCATCCTCCACCACCTCCTTCTCCTTTGCCCTCTGTCTTGCCCAGCATCAGGGTCTTTTCCAATGAATTGGCTCTTCACATTAAGTGGCCAAAGTATTGGAACTTCAGCTTCAGTATCAGTGCTTCCAACAAATATTCAGAGTTGATTTCCTTTTAGATTGACTAGCTTGATCTCCTTGCTGTCCAAGGGAGTCTCAGGAGTCTTCTCTAGCACCACGATTCAAAAGCATCAATTCTTCAGTGCTCAGACACCTTTATGGTCCAGCTCTCTAACAGGACCTTCTTTATGGTCCAACTCTCTAACAGGTCACATACTTGTCATTCCTTTTTTTTTTTTATGGTGAGAATATTTAATATCTACTCTTAGCAACTTTGAAGTACATAGTACACTATTCTTAATAATAATTACAATGCTTTGCATGAGAACCCTGGAACTTGTTTATCTTCTCACTGCAAGTGTAGACTCTTTGGCCAATTCCCCCAATTCCTCCACCCTGCCCCCAGCCCCTGGTAACCATTCTGATTGTCTGAGTTTGACTTATTTAGATTCCACATATAAGTGAGATCTACAGTATTTGTCTGACTTATTCCACTCAGCATAATGCCCTCAAGGCCCAGAAGTGTTGTTGCAAATTGGAGAAAAGGATTTCCTTTTCTCGTGGCAGAGTAATATTCCATTTTCTATGTATCACGTGACTATCGCTTCTCTCTCTCCCTCTCTCCTGCAGGACACCAGCCATGATCGGCTGCTCATTTGTGGTCAACAGGAAGTTCTTTGGTGAAATCGGTCTTCTGGACCCTGGGATGGATGTGTATGGAGGAGAAAATATCGAACTTGGAATCAAGGTCTGTGACATGGTGTCCTTTCTTCTTGGTCTGTTATATTTGTGAGCAGCACTACCTAGTCATTTTTGATGTGTGTTTAAAGCTTCCTTAGCTGAGTGAATGACAGAATGGTTCACCCACTTCTGTTCCTAAAGATGTTCCAGCAGGATTGGTACCCAATCTTGAGCTTTACCCACTTCAAGAAGTTGAACAATTTGGCCATGCCTGGGTGATCCAATCTAGACATTAATTAGCTAGAAAATATGGTTCCTACTCCCATTCAGTTTCATTCTCTCCTTAAATCTTTCTTAAAATTAAATCATCTCCTTAAATTAGAACTTCCAGCCTACATATTTGGACAGTTCATGTGCATAAAATAACCATAAGATGCCAGAGGAGAGAAGGATCGTGTTCTGTGGGACTCTCCTCTTTCTTAGAAAGATTTCTAAGGAGGCTGATAGGGAAGAGGGAAGAGGAAGAAGATTGCAGAAGGGGCTCTTGCTGGGCCCACGTTCAGATCAGCTCCATTGCTTCAGCTGGGTTTTGTTTAAAATTCTGTTTGAAAAATGATTTTCACTGTCAAAAAAAAAAAAAGTTGGGCATATTGATGCATTCCAACTCTTCGTGTTAGAGTTAAGATAAATGGACCTCAGTGAAGGTTTGGGTGAGGGGAATCCTTTAGGACCTGGTCACCACTTAACTGGTGTGTCTTCCTGCATACCACAAAGTGGGGGCTCCTGGGGGTGCCCATTTAGGGTCACTGGGCCCCCACTGGCCCCTGTCCTAAACTTTTGCCTACCTGGGAAGTAAGCTTGTTGGAAACGACTCGGACACAATTGTAAGGTTTAAGTTTATTGAATTTCTTCCTCCTTCCGCTGCTGGAATCTCCTTTTTGTGCTGCCAGGCAGGTACCCAGCGCAGAACCCCGACCCACAATCAAAGCCCGTTCTCCGTGTCAGATTTCACTCATTATCCCTAATTGCTCAGAACCTTTAAGATACCCCGCCAGCCCTTCATCTACACTTATGCCCCCCTTCATGGAATGGAAGACTTCGTGTTCTTATGATGAAATGAGCGTCCAGGATGCAGGAGCAATGGGGATGGTGGGGACCTACCCTGCACCCTCAAGTCACTCCCTTTTGGAGACTGCAGACTCTTCCTGTATTTTCAGTTCCAGGCTGGGTTCTTTCCTAAGTGGAATTTACATAGAATTTCTTTGAAAGCCCAGCAATTAAAAATCCCATGGATATGTGATCGCAACTAGTGTACTCGGCACTTAATCCATTTGGAATTTAATTGATGGAAAAGATCTGGACCCAGAATGTTGAACTTGACCTCTAACTTCAGTTTCTACCCTGGTCTCATCTCCTCATTCTGCCATCTTCCTTAGCTCTCATCTGCTTCTAGCATGCCAGGGAATTGACTTTTTTGTTATGTATATTGTATTTCTCTAACTTTACTAGCCGGATTGCAAGCTTTACGGGGCACAGAACTTCATGGTGCTCACCTTTGCATCCCAGGCACATAGAACCAAGCTTCACACATGGCTCAATAGATATCCGTTAGATTCATGACTGATTGGGCACCTAAAGGGACCCAGCATGCATAGAAGCAGTGAGACATTGTGGAGACAAGCCCAGTGGTTAAATGGAAGATGATAACTTACCCAGGTACTTCCTTGTGAAAGGAAGGAGCTGAAGGAAGCCCTGCATTGAGACAGTTAAGCTTTCTTAAATGTTTCAAAATTTTATTATAGTTTATAAAATCATTTGTTTATTTATGTATAATGTTTATAAAATTAAAATTTATGATAATTTGGTAAGTTGTTGATTCTAAAATTTTTTAATATTTTATTAAGAGGGATTTGCATGTCTAATGGTGTGAGAAGGAAGCCTGTGGGGCTAAGATGACACCAGCAGAGGGGAGAACAGGATGATGGATGGAGCACTGTCCTCACGGAGGCAGGGGCACAGGTGGAGGGGTTATGGGGACAGGAGGGACTCCCAGATTTGATTGCCACAGCAGGCTGTGCTTTGTGGAAAACAGAGGTGGAAACATCAGGCCCACTGCTAAGGCGCTCAGATGTTGGTCTCCCCACGCGTGAAGGTATATTCTGTGCATCGACCTGGACCCCACAAAGGTCTGGGTGTGAGGCTCTGCCGGGCTCCGTGGTGGTGGCGGTGATGACAGCCCTGCGTGGCTGCCCTATCCCTGCAGGAGGGGCGGAGCCTGTCAGTTTCGCCCTGCGGCAGCACCACCCAGTACAGCACCGCCCCTCGCCACCAGCTGAGGGCGCCCGTGAGTTCCGCGCCCCACCTCCAAGGGACAGGCTGGAGTGATGGGTTCCAGAGCCTGCTCACTGGCTTGTCTTCTACTGGTCTTCTCAGCACCAGGCTGCTCTCCAGACATCTTTGTGAAGGCGTCAGATGGAGGAGCCTGGATCCTCCCCTAGTGTACAATCACCAGTCTCTTATCCCAGGCACCTCCAGCATCCACGCTGGGATTTGGGAATGTTTATGCCTTCATTTCCCATAGCCCAGAGGTCCCCAATCTTTATCACACCAGAGACCTGTGTGGAATTTACATAGCAAGCAATGCATGTCTGCTAAATCGCTTCAGTTGTGTCTGACCTTTTGCAGCCCTACTGACCGTAGCCCACCAGGCTCCTGCATCCATGGGATTCTCCAGGCAGGAATACTGGAGCGGGTAGCCATTTCCTCCTCCACTGGGATCTTCCCGTCCCAGGGATTGAGCCTGGGTCTCCTGTATTGCAAGTAGATTCTTTACTTTCCATGCTCATTTTAAGAAATCACTGTTACCTGGTGTAAAATAAAATACACACATTCATTATACATCATTCACTGTGTGTATGTGTGTGTTAGGTGTTCAGTTGTGTCTGACTCTCTGCAACCTCGTGGACTGTAGCCCGCCAGGCTCCTCTGTCCATGGAATTCTCCAGGCAAGAATACTGAAGTGGGTAGCCATTCCCTTCCCCGGGGTCGTTCACCATGACATGAGTCTGAATCCTTTACCCAGGACTGCTGTGGAGCCTCCTGCAAAAGTTGCACCAAGAGGAAGGTCCTCCACGGGATCTTCCCATCTCAGGGATTGAGCCTGGGTCTCCTGTATTGCACGTAGATTCTTTACCGTTTGAGCCAAGTATGAGCCTGGCACGTACGTATCTATTCTCAGAAAGGAGCCCAGGAAAGAGTCCCCCTCTCTTGAAAAATACATTAGCCATCCCTGCTGCCTGAGATAAATCAGAGCTTTATGTAATATATACACTCATATATACATATGTAAAATTGTATAAAGTGTACACACATACATTTATACAGATTAACCTATAATAACCTGCAAGAAATGACATAAAATCATATGCATTAGCTATGTGGGGAAATTTGAATTTGAGAACACTTACCTTTTCTTTGTGATTTCTTTGACCAAGAAATAGGTCCATCGGTGATCAAACTCTTCTCTGACATTTTCCATTACCTTTTAATTCCATCCTCAGTAATTAAAGAATAGGAAGAACTGAGAACCTTACTGTGGTTCGGGAGAGGGGGGCAAACAACAGGGTTTATTCTAGGGCTCTTGCTTGGATGAAAGGCAAGCTTTCCCGCGACCAAAACAATCGATACAGTGGAGAGAAACAGGGGGAGAAAAGTGCTTTCTAGGACTGAGAAAATAAATGAGATAAAAAATTGAAAAGTTTCCTCGTATTCTGAGTAACATTAATCAGCAATTTTAACGATGTATATTATGGTAACATGTCTAAATGGTAAGAGGGAAACAATTCAAGGAGAAAAGACCAAATAGATTACTTTTAAATAGTGTCAGATGGCCTCAGGTTTCTCCAATATATCCGTCTTCTTGGGGATGAAAAGGCACTGTCTTATTCTGAACCCTCAAGTAAAAGAACGACTGACACACACCGTTACTGAATCCTGCCTGCCTGGATCTGAAAGAAGGGTGATAGAAAGATGCTGTCAGATCCTCCAGCCATCAGGAAAAGCCTTAACTCGTCAGGAATCTCAAGGACTGAATAAAAGGCAGAATTCCTATGTGTGCTCATTGTTGTTGAAAATATTTTTGAGACCAGCGACCCGTGATGGAGGTGAAGTCAGCAAGAGGGTGGTCGGTGAGAGAGGGGGACACAGGCATGATAACCTTCTTACCTGGCCCAGCCCAGCCCCCAGGACCTTCCTCTTGGCGCAACTTTTGCAGGAGGCTCCACAGCACTCCCGTGTAAAGGATTCAGACTCATGTCATGGTGAGTGACCCTGGGGAAGGGAATGGCTACCCACTGCAGTGTTCTTGCCTGGAGAATTCCATGGACAGAGGAGCCTGGCAGGCTACAGTCCATGAGGTTGCAGAGAGTCAGACACAACTGAACACCTAACACACACATACACACAGTGAATGATGTACAATGAATGTGTGTATTTTATTTTACACCAGGTGAGAATGACGTTCTTAAAATGCAGAGTTAGAGCTTGGCGCCACAACTGCTGGTGGCATAGTTCACGATACCCCCAGACCCCCATTTTCCTGAGGAGTTGGGATGCCACTCTTATGACTCAAGTGGGCCCAAGGATAGCATCTCTGCCATCTTGCCCAGCCCAGTGCACTCGAGCTGACGGTACTAAAGACCTGCAGGATAGTCCACAGACTCAGGCTCTAGGAGGCCCCATGCCAACTGGGATACCTTCAGCAGTAGATTTGATCATCAGAGCAGATGGTATAAACAGTCCTGATCTGACCCTGAAAGTTCAGGTATCACGAGTACCAGTGTCTGAGAGTGAAGATGAATATCTCAGCTCAAGTAGAAGACATGAAACGGCTCTGACCAGCCCTGTTGATGGATGCTCTGATCCCCACCCCAGCCACTCCTCTGTCCACAGGCTTTGGGACTTATCATCCAGCATCCATTTTAAGCACAGAAGATTCTCCCTGCCGGCTCTGAGACCCCTGACGTCGGAATCCCCCCGTCCAGAAGCCTCCTCTGACCTTTGTCTTCC